AATTCGGGAAAGTCGGCATGTGGGGTGGAGGTAGAGGGTTCGGCCGGCGTGTGATGTGCGGCAAACGGGAACGTGCTCTCGTCAAAAGCAATGTCCCGAGTGTGAAAGAAACGATGAGTATCAAGGTCATACACACGCCAACCTTTTGTGCCGGAGGGGTACCCAACAAACATGCACTTGGTGCTTCGAGGAAAAAATTTGTTGGATGTCCTGAGTCGTACAAAACATAGACATCCAAAAATTCGAAGATGACTAAGATCTGGTGCTTTGTGATTTAGAACTTCAAATGGAGACTTACCACCAAGTAGTTTGTTGGGAGTACGGTTAATTAAATAAACAGCAGTACGAACACATTCCCCCCAGAATTCAATAGGTAAGTGAGCTTGAAACATAAGGGAGCGGGCGACATTTAATATGTGTCTATGTTTTCGTTCTACCCGACCGTTTTGTTGTGGAGTACCTACACAAGAAGTTTGAACAAGAACACCCAAAGTGGCATAATATGACCGAAGGTCTTGATTGACAAATTCGGTGCCATTATCAGAACGAACAATTTTTATGGTTTTATGAAATTGGGTCTGTATCATGGAAAAAAATTGTTTCAAACAACTAGGTACTTCAGATTTATCAATGATCAAATAAGCCCAAACTGCACGAGAATGGTCATCGCCAATAGTGAGAAAATAATGTGCACCAGTAGCTAAACAAGGGGTGTAGGGACCCCATAAATCACAATGAATTAGATCAAAAACACTTGTAGCTTTATTGGAACTAATAGGAAAAGAGCTACGAACTTGTTTGGATTGGAAACAAATTTCACATAATTGTAATAATTTAAGTTTAGAGCTACTGGCAGAAGGAATAAGAGACGACAAAACTTGAACAGATGGATGCCCCGAGCGTTTATGAAGGAGAGAAGGATCCACTTGGGTAGCAAATGCTGTAGAACATGGACGAAACAGGAAAACTCCATTGTGTGCATCACCCCGTCCAATCTCCATCTTCGTGACACAATCCTGTATGACACAACAGTTTTTGTTAAAAATAACAAGACAAGAGGTATCTCGAATAAGACAACCAACAGAAATAAGATTGCACTGCAAATGAGGAACAAGCAAAACGCCCCGAAGCACTATTTCGGGTGAGAGCCGCACACGGCAACATCGAGTGGCTGTAGTCTGTGTGCCATTGGGCAACGTGATGACACAGGGGGCCATGGGAACCACATCAGTTAAAAAAAAGATATTACCAGTCATGTGATGAGAGGCGCCACTGTCAATAAGCCACTCACGAGCCGATGCCTCACCATTAGACCCAGTATCCTTGTCAGAAGAAGAGACGTCGAGCATGGAAAGTAACCGAGTCATCTGATCAGGTGTGAGGCCTAGGGCGTTGGAATTGGTGGCTGCATTTGCTCCCCCTGTCGCCGATCCTATCCCTCGGCCAGACCCACGGCCAGGGGCGCTACTGCCGCCGGACGGCGTTCTGCCACCGCCGCGACTCCCTCGGCCGGATGCAGTGCCGCGACCTCCACGGCCCTTCCCGGGCGGATACCCATGCAATTGATAGCACCGATCCACGGAATGGCCGTCTTTTCCACAATGTGTGCACGAATAATGGGGGGG